CAACATCCGATTGCATAATGCCCGCTACTAACACACCTTGCAATCAAATGTAGAAAAATCTTACTTTCCATAAATCTCACATCTCTCGCCTAACAAAAAAAGGCCTTTCATCATTCGTACCATGCATATGGACGAAGTCGAGTAGTGCTTCCTAACTAAAGCTTCCTAAGCATCTCTAGTTTGCAACCTCGATAGTCGGATCCCAATAAAAGCACTTTGACTTAAGTAAAAATAATAATAATATTAGTTCATTTCATGTTAAATTAATATTTTAAATGTAATATAAATAAATAAGAAATACGTTAACTTAAACTCATTATAGTAGAATTATTTCATCCGCTCCGAAATGAACTTCCATGTTGAGCCACCGATGTCCAATCGTTCCTTGAAAGTGATGGTTATCCTCTTAGAGCAATCTCTCGACACGGATGGAAACTATTGAATACCATAAAAAAGAAAAAGACATGTTGTAATTACTCGAAACAATATATTAAAATTAAAAAAATAATTACAAGGTTTTTATGTCAATTATTTATCGATAATTAATGACCAAAATTGGCTATCGAATATCAAAGCCTCATGATCTCCCTAGACCGATAGATACATCAATGGATGAGGGACCCTCTGTGGGAGGTCGAGGAAGCTCAACAACCACGGGAGCTAGATGAATGATCATGGAAGGAGACGCTGGAGCGATTGCGGAACTGCCGGCTCTAGGGGAGAGGATTGTTATGTCGGTTGAAGGATGATCGAGAGAGAATTATGTCGCATTGGGTGGTCGATTTGGGTCCGGGCAATCGACGGTAGCAAGAGGAGGAGAGAAAAAGAAAAAAAAGGAAATAGGGAAAAAGAAGAGTTTTTGTCGATTTAGGGATTTAAAATGAGCGATGGATATGATTTCATCGTTAATTCGTCACTAATTAGTGAGGAATTTAAGTATCCATCACTAATACATATTTAATTCGATCATTTTATTTTTTGATCTTTTCAAAAATGAGGCAACATTAAGAGTTAGTGAAGAAAAACTAAATTCCATCGCTAATCTGTTGGTACCTAGTAATAGAATTTCTTATTTGTCATTAAACTGATTGTCTTATTTTCTAAATGTTTTCCAATTTGGCCACAGTATATAGTCAATGATGAAACATAAAACCGTTGCTACGCCATCACTAATTAGCTATGGATTTATGTTTTTGTTGCTAATTAAAACAAAAATGTAAATTACCGATGGAATATAATATCCATCGCTAACCTCACAAAACTGTCATTGTTCCATCGCTATTGTCGGCGTGTTGCAAGTTAACGACATAACATTATCTATCACTAATTTTCTCGTTGCAATACCGATGCAATTTCATTTCAAATTATTTATGTCATAATTACATCATAAATTTTTTGCAAACTAGAGATGGTTGATCAATCGTCCCTAATTGCTCGATTTCTTATAGTGTTTTTAACAAAAGAATAAGGCATTTACTAAAAGAAAGAAAAAATGACTCTCAAATATGGCATTGGGTGATAGGTCATCCATCTTATATTGTCTTGAAGTTCTTGATGTCATTTTTTGTCTATTAATTCTCATAGTTATAAAATTTGGAGGTTTTCTAAACAACTAAATTGTTATTTCAATCACCTATGCATGATTATGAAGAACCATATACATTCTAATTTGTGGACATTACCTGTTACATATCATGATGGTCATAAATATTTTGTGACTTTTATTGATCATACATCTAAACCTATTTGGATTTATTTGTTAAAGTTAAAGAGTGACATTGTTTTTTTTTGTTTTCAAAGACTTTGATTAAATTTCAATCAATAGTAAAAATTTTAGGACTAATAATAATAAAAAAATATGTCAACTATCAATTTTCTAAATATCTTTAAAATCTTGGCGTTACACACCAAACATTTTGTGGAGCAAAACTTCGCAATGAGAATGAAGTTACTCGACAAAAAAAATAGACACCTTAGAAACAACAATGTGTTTAATGCTTCAAATGAATGTTTCTAAAGCTTATTGGTATATCTTGTGCTAACAACTTGTTATCTTTCAAATAGACCTCCTAGCAAGGTTCTCAAATATAAATTCCTCATTGAAATTTTAATGCATAGAAGTCTAAGTGTATATCATATATGCCTTTGATTGTACTTGTTATGCTAATGTTACCGAAAAAGTATAGAGACAATCTTGATAAACGAGGCCATTAAGTGTATTATTTTTTATTTTTTATTTTTTATTTTTTTGATATTCCTTAACAAAAAAGGTTACACGGGCTATGATCTTATATCTCAATATATATATATATATATATATATATATATATATATATATATATATATATATATATATATATATATATATGCATAGAAGTCTAAGTTTATATCATATATGCCTTTGATTGTACTTGTTATGTTAATGTTACTGAAAAAATATAGAGACAATCTTGATAAACAGGCCATTAAGTGTATTTATTTTTTATTTTTTATTTTTTTGATATTCCTTAACAAAAAAGTCACACGTGATATGATCTTATATCTCAAATATATATATATTTCTAGGAATGATCAATTAATTGAAAAAAATAATCCTATTTTCAAAATCTCTCTCAAGAAAGCTTGGAAATTAGGACTCATGAAGATATCTTCGAGACTTAATTCTTCTACCTAATATACTCATGGTACTGGGGTTGAAATTGTTAATGCTAATAATATTTACAATAATGATAGCAAGAGTGGCAGTGTTCTATATGAGAAGGTATTGAGCAACAAGATGATGCAATCCAAGTTCAAGTGATTCTACACATACATATATAAAATGGAAATAGCTTGGTTCTATTTCCATTTCTTCATTAGTTATTTATATTCCTCAACTTTATGGATGAGCTAATTGGTCTAAACAATCCATCGACTATTGATCAATAAATACGAAATCCTCGATCTTTTGACTTTGAACCCTCATATTTTTGTGCAAGTCATCAAGGCAATGGAGGATTTGTGTCCTGCTTCTTTACGTCAAGCCTTATTGGAAGTATAAAAATCAAGATAATGCAATTTTTAAAGTCGTGCATTTGCATCCTTTTCCAGTATTTTCAATCTGAGTGGGTGCTCTTGTCATGGTGAAGCCAATTGGCGTTCGAGATATGAGAGCATATGTGTGGTAACCCACAAGATCCATTATTAATTTATTTAATAATTCCACCGAATGTTTGTGATTGCAATCCATGCAAGTTGGCAATTAGTACTAGATTTCAAACAGACTCATCAAAATCATAATCTCTTCTTATTTAAAGAAACCAAAGGAAAGATTCCATATTTATTTATCTTTAATCTGTTCACTTAATATCTCTTGGGTTATTCTGGAGACCAGTCAAGAATTCACAAATTAGATTAGGATGAAAGAACTGTTATCTATGGACAATACTCGTAAATATTATAGCTAGCTAGCCATCTAATCAAACACATTTGGGTTCTAACCATAAACAAAGTTGTTGGGAATTTCAATTTTGGTGGGAAAATAATTAAATCAAATATATACAACAATGAAAATTACAAAATAAATCAATCACAAAATTACAACCATGAGAAAACTAAATTTATATTAATTTTTTTTTATTGTATAAAAAAAATCACAGAACAAAGTCCGAAATAATATATTATAATAAAAAAAAACATACAATTATTCAAATTTTTTGTAAACTTAATAAACAAAAATCCTAAAAAAATAAAAAATCACAAGACTAATTTTGAAATAATCTATTATAATCAATTAAAAAAAGGTAAAACTCTTTTCTTCCTTATTATAAAAATCAACAATAAAAAAAATCCTTTGTTTTTCTTTTTTCTCATCTGCATTGCGGATTGGAGATTCACAAATCATTTGTTTCCTCATAGACACTATTTTAATTAAAAAATTTAGACTAACGGATCATAAATCTTATATATAAACACACTTTTCTCATTTTATTTTCAATATGAAATATATCTCACATGTCTATCCAATAAACATCAACAAATTAGAACTTCATGTGACATGATAATGGGATGTCAGTTTGTGAAAGCGAAAACCAAACTAGAAATGGAAATTACAAAAAAGATGCCCCGACCATGAAGTACGTGTAAAACATGAGATGTCAGAAAAAGACTTGAAGATGACATAAACAATACTGATCATAGCGTTGAAAGGGGTAAATTTATGGAGAATGTTTAGAGTTTAGACACTTGACAAAATGGTCCGAGCACCTTACAAAGACATTTTTATAGATATAGTAACTTCTCTGTTAAAAAAATGTAGCTAAATGGCCCAGTCCATTCGAAACATAATGATTTTAAACTTTGAAGAAGAGTACTGGATGAGTAGTACTGTTAACGTGTCATGCATCGGAAAAAATTTGGTAGCTCATCCTCCACTAATACAGCTTCCACAAAGGAATCAATAGAATCCGATAAGGCAATCCCAGACAGAAGCATAATATTTTGATACCTTCTGAGCTAGGTTGGATTGCAATTTGCAAGAAAGTAGCACAGGAAGATTGCTTAAAGCTGTCACTTCAGTTTTCTGTACGTCTCTTATTCCCTTAAAGATCTTCATATCCAACTGTAAATGATTTATTTTCTTCTTGATTCTATGGAAAAAAAACCCACCTCCCAAAAAGAAAGAAAGAAAGAAAGGACTTGTGCTACAACATCAGCAGAAGTTTAGTGTTCTTTCACTAATAATTCTTGAACAACTTGGAAGAGGAATGACTGTGCAGTAAGTTCAAAGAGCTTGAAATGAATAACTCAGTTGCAATTTGCAAAAATAAAATAATCAATCACACTAATTTAGCAGATTAATAACAATCTTATCCTATACGACACTTGATAACAAGCACACATTTCCTTTATTGGAGAGGTACAATCCTTTGGTCAACCTCTTAGTTAAGACCTAGTAAATAGTTAAGGAATAGTTGAGTAATTTTTCCCATGTACATCTTCAACAAACATATCATAATCTATCATACATCTTGCTTCAAGCCCTTGTTGGCAATAAGATTAGTAGTAGAAATTATCGAATCATGCACTTCAGAAGCATACATGTATAGCCTTAAATTAGCCTTTCTTTGACTGGAAACAATTGTTGTACGATACTTGAGAAACCACTCTTGTATTATCATGCTGCCTGTTATAGGACTTTTGGCTGTATCTTCCTTGTCTGTGTTTCCTTCTTGGCTGTGAAGACTTGGGGATAAAAACTCCCGTTCCCTTGCAGCTTTCTCTTCTGCAATTTTGGTCATACATGAATTGAGATGGTGCAGTAATTGGATAGTTTCCTCTGGAGAAAGACTGCAAAAGTTAGAGCAAAGCCTGCTTGATCAGTTTACAGCTCTAGCTAGCTACAATAAAAGTACTTGAAACAGTTTTGCATGAAATGAAAGCTGGGTTGGATATGGTGGAGAACCTGCAAAGAAACTGAAGGGCAAGTCACAACAGGGTCCTCGTCATCATCCATGATTAGAAGAGATATTTGCTTGCTTAAGTCTGCAAAGAACAAATCATCTTCTAATTCCATAGCCAAATCCATAGCAAGTACACCACGAAAAAAAGCCTCGCTTTTCTGTTGCTAGCTAGGCTACTCAAATTGTGTTAGGCACAAAAACAAGCAGGTGAACTTAAGTTCTACTAATCTTTCAAGTCACTTAATTTTCCTTATCTTTCCTGTGGAGTGGGAATTTATGGGTTATAAATAGTGGAGGGAGAAGGCATGTAATGAGTGAGGTAAAGTTAGAGAGGTTTGCATGTGGGGTGGTGGGTCTTTTGCTGGCAGTTGGCCAATCTGTCTAAAGTCCCAATACCCCACAAGAATCATGAAGTGTGCTATGACATTATCCAGTTGAGGGAAAGGGATGAGGAGCAGCAAGTAACAGCCCACACCTAGATATCTAATCCAAGATATACTCGATCTCTTAACACTATACATGGCTGTAAATGGATTGGAGCTGTCTCTCTCCCTCCCACGCATACACATCTGCCGCTCTTAAAGCCTGAAGGAAACGGCCAACAGGTATGGTTTAAAATTCATAGTCCATAATCCACACATCATCAACTTGGATGAAACATATTTGAACCCAAGCTCCTTATCTTGCTAGCTAGTAGCAGAAGTCTTGGTTTTGTAGTAATTAACATGTTAAGCAACTAGGCAGTCAGACTGTAGTTAGCTGCTACAGAATCCTTCTCTATTTGTTGCAGATCTAGAGTGGGTCCAATAGTCGTATAAAAATAAAAAATAAAAGAAATGAGGCCTTTTGGTCTAGCTCTACCTTAGGTTGAAGGTCATAAAGCATTTACTACGATGCCTGGCGACCTGAGGTTAAGGAATTAAAAAAATAGAATAGACTTGCACTAATTTGATCATACTTTAAGGGGAGGGTTATGGATGAGGAAACTAGAGAACTTACTCTGTTTCCTGGTACATGGCCTGCTAGCCCTAGGTTAATTACATGCACTTAAGAACTCGAAAGTTTGATCACTCACTCGAAACTTCATACTTGAATGCACTTTACTCTTCTTGGAAAGCAAGTGCCTGAAGTATGGGTGTCATTGGGTCCACACGGTTTGCTGGCTGGCGAAGGGACCCTAACTTGTGCTTAACATTATGGGTGATTGCTGCTGGGACCGGATCTTCATGACCATCTGGCCCATGTTGCTCTCAAATTTTGATCTTAATTATAGCATTGAATGCAAGTCAGCTTCCTTTATCCTTGGAGTGGGATTTTAGTTTGCAGGTAGCAACTGCAACTTACCGATTATTCTAATCACTTGAAGTGAGCTGCGTCAAACATTTGAGAGCGAGAAATGCTTCAAACATGAAAAGTAGTTGTGCGAGCTAGAATTATGGTTTAAGACAAAGAAACCGGGTGAGCTAGAATTATGGTTTAAGACGAAGAAACTGGGTGAGCCTTATTAATGATGTCCCCCATTGACATCACTTAATTATTGAAACAATGACGAGAAACTGCCTATAACCAGCATGACATTGTTCTGCAGGACTGATTAATGCCTGTCCTCGCTGACGTATCTCCCTTCCCACAGAAAAATAAAAAAAATAAAAACAGGTTTTGAGTTGTATGATCTGTTTATAATATTCTAGGATCTAAAGTGAAATGCCTGGAAGTTAGCCTGTAGCCGCCAGACAAGCTCGCAAATCTGTTGACTGGAATCAGCAAATCATCTTCATCAGCATGCACCGACTCTATTGATGGCCAGTAATTTTTGCATTTCAGAGCACGTGGATGGCTGTTGCCAGCTACGACTAACCATCAAAGATTGCTATGGATCTGAAGCTCATTCGTAATGGCTATCTTAGCATAGCACATTGCGCTAATCTCCCAATGGCACTTTACGGATTCTTAGCATTAAAATGCTCCATTTCCCTTTTAACATATGATCTTCCGTGGAAAGATGGAGCAAAGCATTTTTTTCTGGTGGAACCGAACCACGTGAGTTTAAAACTACGAGAACCAATTATATCCGATTGCTCGTCCAAAAGCATAAACCTACTTTCATTGCAGCAATTCTTAGAACTGGAACTTAAAATCTTTGTTAATAACATTTGCTCTCTTGCTAATGTAGATACATATACAGGTGTTCCTTCGAGCGAGGAGTTCGCACTTTCATACTTGTTAACAAACAAAAGGATATCAAAACTTGACAATGAACTAACCACGTCTTTAAGGGGGAGTTTTCTGAGAGACTATCCTTGGCAATTGAAAAGTTCTGCAGGTAAACATCCAACTGTAGTGCAAATTAAGCTCCAACAGCCATATCCATATCTGTAACAGCATCAACTCCCTTGAAAACAAGACGTAATTTTCTCAGACATGAAGTTTTCTTGTCATCCTTGTTAGCTGTACCAGTCACATGAACGATGTCCTTTGGAACTTTCCCCATAAGTTCAAAAAGTGGCAAGCTTAGGTTTGATCGAGTCATCTCTTCCAGAACCGGTGGCGATTGCATGTACAAATTCGTTGCCTGGTGTCTAACACTTGCTTTTGACAGGAGCAGCTTAGGATGTTCTTCAAGCATATCAATAAACTGTTCACACAAAAGCCAATAAATATAAAAGCAAAATAAACTGTTTAAACAAAAGATAATCAAATAAAGCGACATAAATGCGTGTACATTAAAAAGAAGCAAACTATAATTAATACAGTATAGAAGAGAGAAGCACAGAGAGGGAACTGCTTTGATTATCTGAGAATTTGAAACATACAATTAATATGCCATGACATAGCAAGAAAATATTTTGGAGACCAGGTCTGAATGCTATCAGAAAAGTAAAAGGAATAAAAGCCATGAGGATAAGAAAATAACCCTTTGTAGAGTAACTGAAGTGTCCAGCTCAATAAGAACACCTGGACCACATACAAGACAATCCTTGTCCCTCACAAATTCAGTCACTTTGATGTGTAGACCTTCCACGCCATTATACCTACAGAAGATTCAGATCATGCAGTAAACTCTTTCTGCTAGTTTGTTGGAGAAAAGGATAAATAATCAATAAACAGAACCCTTTTTTTGCTCGGATTACAAAAGTCAACATAGCTCCACCAGATTCAGTAACATACAAGACATTGTAAGAGGTAATGGTTCCCACACCTAGCTATCTTTCGTGGTGAAATTAAACTCTTTCAGATGGTAATAACAAGGTTGTTCGTTTAAGAGAACTAGAGATTGAAGTAAAAGTTATGCATAATAACAAAAAATGTGAAGACAGAGATTAAGTCTATCCGTGATTGTTAGGTGGTTTATGATATATACTTCTACCACCACATGAGAACAAGATGAAATTCTAAAATAAAGCAAAATTAAAAAGAATTTCACGCACGTCAGATAGTTGCCTAGAGTTTTGCTGCATCCCGATGCAAGCTTCAAGGTTTCCAACGTACATGCAGCTGATATAATTGCATTGGTGGAAGCAATAGCTGGTATGATGTTTTTCACAACACCCTGTGAACAAGAAAGAACTTGCTCTATCACAAAAAATGCAAGGGAAAAGAAAGAAAAAGGACAGTGCAACAAATAGGTGAAGCCAATAATACGTGACACTTCAATGAGGCATTTTGTAAGAGTTTCCTATTGGAGGTTTTGGATGGAAAAAAAAAGGAGCAAAACAAGAAAAGATGAGTCCAAATAACAAATAGACGATTTTCAGGTTAAAAATGAAGTTGCCTATCATGAAGTCCTTAGGTATATGCTAAAAGAATAAAAGAAGCCAGACCACACTATGATCAGGCAGTATTTAGAGAAATAACTTCACGGAATCTATAAGTACCTGAGTAAGAGAATATGTAACACCTTGGATACCAAAAAGTTCAGCCCTCTTGACGGCCTGTGGAGCATGGGAAGAGCATAATTTGCACAGAAAAACCTTGAAACTCAGCTTTAAAAAAAAAAAATTAATAATAATAATAATATTACTGGTAGCAATATTTCACCTCGGTGTATACCCATTTCATATGTTCCGGGTCATCTGGATCAAAAGTCTTTCCACTATGAACCTAGAATATAATGGTCACAAGATAATAGCAAATCAACTCAAAATTGTCAATTCAGGAATGAGAAAAAATGGATAATGCATTACCTCATCCCATTTAATTAAGTGAGCATATTCAATACAATGAGCAGCAGTTCTAGGGGTTTCTGCAAGAGTGCATAGAGGAAACTTCACTTGAGGAGGGAAAAGCCAGATGGTACACTCAAAACACGGTGTGGATCCTGGCATGATAACCCTAGCATGCCCCTTGAAACCTTCAGTCCCGCCATCTACCATCGGTTTGACTGTTTCTTCTATTGGATTGTCATCAGAATCATACTCTAATCACCAAAAAAACAACGATGGACAAAACATGAGGTCAACAAGAATAAAGACACACCTTCGGCAAAGAGCTCTTTGGAATCTCAAAAGCACAGGATAAAGTCGTATGCTGGCATATTAAATACAAAACTCAGTCGTTGCATGCAGCTAGAGAACATTAAGTCTATTGGGCAAACAATAAAGGTCCCATAAAATATCTGACAGACTGATAAGTACATCAAAGGAAGCAAAACTTGTGTCTTTTTTGTAGACAAGAGTATTTCTGTAATTTCTTGACAATTTGGAAATTTTCTAAGCCTAGGTTTTATTTTCTATTTAGTATTTTATTAGTCATAAGAAGTAATTAGCTTTATTAGGTTTCTCCTATTCTACATAGACTGAGTATTTTCTTATTTAGGAATCTAGGTCCTTATTGGATTAGGACTACTAGAAAACTATAAATAAGTATGTAGCCTTTCAATATTTTGAATAACAGTTTATGAATAATTTCAAGCAATTTGCTTTGGATTGCATGACTCAATCTCCCTTAGGCATGACACCTAAGAACCCTAGGTGTGAAGCTAGGTTTTTCTAACCTCTAGGTGTGCCTCACCACATCCTTCCTAATATCCAGCAGAAATCCACTTCAATACAACCCTAAACACCCCTAAACAGCCTCCAAAAGTCAGATCTAGAATGGCCCCTAAGCTGTCCTGCATCACAGACTGGTAAAAATCTATGGTCACTGCTCCCACATATACAATTATAGAGAACAAACAAGACAGTATGTCAAATCTGCCATGTCTGAAGTAGCTAATACCCATAGCTCGCAGACCCTCGAAGCATAATGCTACTTCAGCACTGAAGTCTTGTCATCCAATCATATAAAGAAATGACAAACAATATTATGTCCCTGCACAAGGACATGAGCATACCCTGAGGCACTACATTTGAATCTTTATGCCAATTGTGTGAGGACTCGTCATATGCAACCCTTTTGTCTGGAATGCATGCCAAAAACAAATAAACACATAAGGCCTGATGTCACATTGCTTAGGTGAAAACCGGCCTTGCAGTTCAGGTAAAAAGTTTTGCCCCCAATCTCTTTCAAACATATAACCAACAAGAGAGGGGAGATTGTCTCCCAAGTCATGATCTCACATCTATATCCAAAGTGGTCAGTATTTTAGTTGGTATTGGTATCAGGTACTTTCAATAGGGTTCTCATAGTTACTAGTGCTTTCATTCACATAAATAAACAATCCCTAACATTTTAGAAATATTTTTCCAGCAATACAGAAAGAAATGAGGGCAATAAAAAAGTCGCAAAATATATGGAGAAGAAGGCAAATGAAGATACAACGCTCGTTTACAAAACGATGTTAAATAAAAAGGTAACACACAGTTAAGTTGGCACCAAAACAAATCATGGACAGAGGTAAAAATGTCAAATATTCAATTAAACTAAAGGGGTTAAAAGAAAGCACGCACCAAGAAAACCACAAGCTACAGCATTTATATAGCTCCGAGCCTCAACGGAATCAAGACCAAGCGCAATAATACTAAAATCTTTATAAAAATCAATATCTTTGTCCTCAATTCGGCAAAAATGAGGCACAATATTCACACCACTAACTCTTTCCATCACACGCTTGGCTGCCACCTCTGCCTTTGGCTTCCCAACATCTTCAAGCCTACAATAAGAACACTATCTCATGACTGACTTTCTAATCAGAACTAAAGAACTATGATAATGTCGCACATCACAGCCGATAGGTTACATTTTCTATTATGAAATGGTATATATTAAATGACAATGCTAATACTTGCAGAAAAGAAGAGGAAAAAAGATCCAATTAATAGAACACATTGATCTAGTCAATTTGATAAACAGTGACGCACCTGCTTGATGATCTGTACTGGCCCTGAGAAAATTAAGAATTATCAACCACCCTCTTGCAACCATTCCCCATTGAACACGACTATTAGGAACACTAACAAGTAAACAAGGTGTTTCTTATCTCCTTTTACCAATAGGTTCTTCAAAGTAATTCTTTATTCTGAAACACCTCAGAAAAGAAAACTAGGATGTCACTTGTCGGCAATAAAGATACTACTTTTCCTCTGCCTTCATGCAAGATGAATTGTTATCTACCAAATATCATCCAAACAGGCATATTTATGCCTTGACACAGGGTTACCTAAATGCACATACAACTAAGTTCGGCCTCCAGTTCAAGTAACAAACCGTTGACTAGGTTTTCCAATGTTTCTTTTCTCTTCGCAGTTGATATAGGAAAAAAAATTGAAGTTCTAACAGCCATGAATTTAACAGAGAAAAGAAAAGATAAAAACATATAAGCACATGGGTTAAGGTTGAGAAAGCAAAAACCTGAAGAGAAACTGGCGATTGAGATTAGTAACCTCGATACGGTCCATATCAATGACCTCCAGATTTTTAAAACCTGATAAAGCCAAGTCCTTTAGCAGCTCACATCCCAACCCACCGGCCCCAATTACTAATATTCTTGCATACTCTTGAAGATCATCCCTCAACTACAACAATTAAATAAAACAAACAGTTATAAAGAGATTGCACGCCAAGTGTTTGTTATAATTTCCGAAAGAGAAAGAGCTTACTTGAACCCCGGGTTCGAAGGTGGGCGCAACGAGATTGCCAGGTCTGAGAAGTAACTTGTCTAGGTCTCTCGATCGGCTCTGTTGGACTGTAGAGTCTGCCATTGTCTATGTAATCTCTGTCTCGAAGGTCGATGTAAGAAAATCCACCGATTTTAATAGCTAGCGAGCAGCGGATTAACTGCACATTTCGTTCTGTGCTCTTGTCATTTTTTAATGTAGTCCTTCTAGTTTTCTTTTTTTATTTAATCCCTCTATTTTATAGATTTTCTTTGTATGACTTCTCTGATAGAATTCCGGTTTTTTTTTTTTTTATAACAAATGATAGGTGGACTTTTACACTTTATAATAGCAATATGTGTAAAAAAAAATTGAAAATAATAAAATAAAATAAAAAGATATTTTTTAAACTTTTTTTAACATGTCACTATTATTTAATTTGACAGTCCATCTATCATTTGTTACCAGAATATTAAACGGAATTCTATTAGAAGAAACACATTAAAAAAAATATATATTTAAAATAAAAAGACTAAATAAATAAGAAGTAGAAGGACCGCATTAAAAAAATCAAGAGTACAAGTACGAAACATGTTATTAATCTTCTGTGGAGGCGAGTAGCCATGGAGCTAGCTTAACTTTTACGCTTGGGCTGGGTGTGGGAAGGTTTAATGAGCCTTGAATTTAATGAGGCACAAAGCACCTTAAGTTATAATATAACGGAAAGATTGAACATCCTCGAGTATGCTTTGAGTTTTTCACCAAAATTCATTCAATTTCTAAGGCTATGGTTGTTTAGGGTGAAATAAGTGAAATAAGTTTCACTAACTTGTTTTTCTTATTTTCTAATGTTTATTTTGTATTTAGAAAAAAAATCAACGAAAAATGATTTTCGATCAACGAGAAAATGATAGAGTATTTTTAAAAAAATATTTTCCTAATTAAAAAAGAGAAAAATATTTTCCTTCTTACAAGTTGTTTGGCTCTCGCATTATTTACTTCTCTCTCGATATATTTTAATAATTTTTTCTCTATCTTCTTTTTATTTAAAATATATCAAATTAATTTTTTATTATTCCTTATCAATTATTATCAATTATTTAATTATTTTTTCTCTATTTCTACTAATATTTGATTTTTTGATTTATAGATACATTAAATATTCTTAAAAACCATTTTTACACCTTAAAATTATTTTTATAATAAATATTTGAATAATTTATCTCTATTTTTTTTACTATTATCTCAAACACCACTTAAACTATACTTAAATGATTGAAAATGATTATTACAAGACTGTAATTTTTTTATTAAAAAAATTGAAATTAATTAATTTATTAATAAATAAATTATTTTTTCAATACTATTCATTTGTAACTAAATTAATAATTTGTAATTTTAATCGGTCGTAAACTTTTATCGGTAATTGTTATGCATAAGTGGTTACAAATTATTCCAACATTAATCTTTTGAAACCAAATGAATAATTATCTCGCAAATGATAACTAATAATTTGTAAAACTATTTTTTAGACTAAATTATCAATTCAATTTCCCAAAAAAAAAAAAAGAATTCTTTATTGAGTTACCAAAATAACAATGCTAGGATTACTTTTATTTTATTTTATTTTATTTTATTTTTTACTAAATGTGAATATTGACTTGATTTTGTCATGAGTAATTTCGATGAATTAATATGATGGTTAAAAAAGTGCATTTTATTTTTTAAATTAAAATTTTAGATTCGGTATTTATGAAAATTTATTAAATTTTTCTAAATGTATCTTATATTGTGAAATTGTAAATATGCCTTTTTGAAGTTTTCTCAAAACTTGTTAATGTAACAATCACATACTGTTTTTATATGTTAATTTTCCGTATCAAACAAATGTTGTAATATATTTTTCAGTAGTTTTTTCATATAATTGTCAAATAGCGAGAAAATATTTTTTGAAAAACAATTTTCTGAAAAATAACTTCTTCAAGAATTGATTTTCCTATAAAAGTTGTTTTCCTCTAAACAAACAAAGCCTAAGATATATTTTTTAGATGAACATGACATATCTTCCTTTTTTTCCTTTTTCCTTTTTCTTTTTTTCAATCTAAGAATTTCAAAATAAATTTTAAAGAATATTGATTTATTATGGTATTGACTTCATTTTGAGATATAGAAGCCATTCTATTTATTTAGTGTAAAATAACTTGTTTTTTGAAAATATCAAAATTATTTTTCATTATTATTGACTATGGTAGAGAAAACTACTTGAAAATAAATTATTGATGTCTAATATACATGAAAATAAGTGTTGAAAAGAAAATATAAAACAATTAACTAGTGATGGGGTTCATGATTTAATGTTAGAAATCATTTTGTAAAATACATTTATATCTTAAAATCCATAAGTTGTTTTTCCTTGTTTTATGCTCGTTTTCCTTTGATTGTAAACTAATTTTTATCTACCAAGTTTTTTCAAGTAAGTAAAAATGTGAAAATTTGAAAAAAAACAAAAAAACAAAAAAAAATAAATGGAAACATATTCTACGTGAAACAAACACAATAATTTTAGATTGAAATTAAAGTACAATAATAAATCAAAAACTATGCCAAAATTGTAATTAAGCATCCCACGTCGTTTTTCCTTAATTGGGTTACTACATTTAAAAAAAAAAAATCCACATCATAAAAATATTAAGTAAAATGAAATGGTTTTGTTGTATGAAATAGACATTTTAGATCTAATTTAATGGATTTAGATGGAGGGATCCAATTGAGAATTTCTATATATTAAATATATCTAATCGCGAAACAAAATACTTAGGAGCTATTTGTTTGGCGTATTACAATATTTTACAGTTAAATATTTTTTTCATAAGAAATTTTGCACGAAACAAAATTTACTATGTTTAGAGGCTGTTGGGTATCTCTTCTTGAATTTGGTTTTTTGTTTTTTAACAAAACCAATTAAAAAATTGTTTTATGCTTATTTTTTCTAATAATGTTTATTTTTTAATAAAGATATATGAAAAAAAATTCTAATATAGACTTAATTTAAGAAATAATAATAATATAACATTAATTAAAAAATACAAAAGCATCATGGTGATTAAATGATGGTATCATGGTAACAACATGCATAATAATGGTGGTGACTAAGACGATATCGTTATCAAATTTACGATGATTGTTATATTATTGGTACATAATGGTGGTTGTAATGAGTGGTAATAATGTGATAGGAGTAGTTCAAATAATATGTTAGCAACAAATATAGTAATAATATATTTGCAAAAGTTATTAAGATAATAATGGTAGTGTTGGTGGAGTTAATAATAATGATGGTAGTGTTTAAAGATACGACAGTGGTAAAGAATTAAAATGAAAACTGTAATTATATTAATCATGATGTTGATGGCGGTGGTGAAGAAGTGAAATGAAAAGATGGTGGTTATGTTAACCATGATGGTGGTTATTGTGGTAATGATGATAATAGAGTGGTATTGATGGTATAGTAGTGGCATTGTTGCTAACATAATATCTTACAAATAAATAAATTAATTAAACCAAAATCTAAAAATTATTTTTTGTTTTTTTTTCGAAAATATGTTTTAATTTTTAAAATTATTTACAAGAAAAAAAAAACAAAATAGCTAAATAAACATGTTTTCCATTTTTTTTAAAAAAAAACTATGGTGAAGCCAAAACAAGATCTCGGTAAGTAATGATTGAAAAAATATTGTAATAAAGGAACGATGAATATGTTATGGTGATAAGGTGACAATGGTCGTAGTAGTAGTTGCGGTAATAGTGGCATCGACAACGACAAATAGAAGATGGCAATGTTTAAGGAGTTAAGGAGTGGTGGTAGCGACAATCATAGTGATTGTAATTGGATGGTGACGGTGGTGAAAGTAAGGGTAGTGGTGGTGGAAGCCATAGAGTAGAGATGGCATGATGGTGTGATAGTGGTTAAAATAGTTGAATTATACTATAAGTGCATTATTGTCTATAAAATAATTTATAGAACTTGATGAGTTGAAAATATTTTTCAATAAACAAAGGTTGATTATAAAATATTTTACAATGACCAATTTGTGATGAGCATAAAGGTTATGATGGTCCTAATGACGACAAAGAGAAGGTGGTCGTGGTTGAGGAGTGAAGGGGTTGTGGTAGCAACAAACATGATATTTATGATTGTGATGGGAGTGATAGTAGTAATGTAAAATAAATATTTTATTATCCATAAAATATTTTACTTAAATGAGCTAAAAGTTATTTTTCAACAAACAAACTAAATTTATAAATTGACTATAAAATATTTGACAATGACCATTTTTCTCGTATAATATTTTATATAAAATAAATATTAAAAAATCAAAAAATATTATCCTATAATGTTTTTTAGGAAAAAAAGGATTAATTGATTTATCTATCTTTATTTTTAAAAAATATTTTAGACATTTTCTCCTTCTATTGTTTTGAATCTTTAATCAAATATAGGAGGTGTATATTTTATATATAAAAAAATTATTATAGTCTCTGTTTTATGGAATTCTCTAGCTTCTCCCCCCCCCTCTAGAATCTCTTACTCTTTTTAATATTTTATATAATAAATTAAAAAACATATAAAAGATGAGTATTAAAATAAAATGCTAAATATTGAGTTAGAGTTTGGGTAATAACACATAGCCATTCATTTTATTTGAAAAGTTTGGATTAAAAGAGTATGATATTGTTGGCCTTCTGTGGGTCAGCACTTAACATTTGTTTTGAGAGAACGTACTTGGTCCGGACTAACCGCCCGACTAACCGCCCGACCTGCGGTTGCTATTTCTCATGGGTGCATGCCACTCAATGCACGGCATTTCTAATATTGTACCAAGAGGAAATAAAGTTGTACCTTCGCCGTAAACTTAAGCTTTTGGTGTAGATGATAGCACTTGATCCGACTAGTTTGTAATTCTAACACTTAAACACTAATTTTTTTACCCACAGCATATAAAATGCATACAATTATTTTTAAAAAATTATTTTATTTTAATAACATCTTATATTTTGAATCTATCAAAATATATCAAATCAAAATTAAATAAAATTTAATTTAATTTTTTAATTTTTTAATCAAAATTTTGTATTTAACTAATTATTTTTTATATTTTCATTTTTTTATTAAAAAATTATTTATTTATCTCTATCCATATTTTTAGCTAAAACGTTATTTTTTAAATTGTGTTTTTAAACATCATTTTGCTTTAAAATTTTTAATTAAAAAAATCAGAAAAAAAGGCAAAGATCAAAATGACCAAAATGAAACAAAAAAGTGAGACCAAAATCAAATAAAAAAATATTTAAAAAAGAGGGACCAAAGTGTAATGTCACGAAAATTTTCATAAAAAATATCTTTAAAATATTTAAAATTTACAAAAATATCGCTACATAGCAAAAGAAATAGTGCATCCGAGTGGGTGAATAGTAAAATGAGTCCGGATAAATAGTATAGTGAATAGTAGCTAATGATTTTAGTTTAGTAACATAGGTTTAACAATAAATTTTGCTCTTATTCTATTACGATTTAATAATTTGAGACTTTAGTACTAAATTGCATAATTTCAATCTCAAACTATTGGTTTTTAAGAAAAATTAATCTAATTTTCCTAATTGTCGTTATATGTAACCAGCAACTAAGTTGAACCTTATTTGGAATATCAAAACGACATTGTTTTGACATTTCGAAGTTAATTATGTTTTTTTTAAAAAATTTTTTTTTAATATTTTTAACCTCCTTAATCTCGAACTTTTTAAAAAACTTCTTTCTTATAAAATATTAGAAACACTTTATAAATTATATAAAAAAAGATTTATAAATATTTTTAACCCCTTGATTTTGAACTTTAAAAAAAAACTTTTTTATAAAATATTATAAACATTTTATAAAAAACATATTGTTAAAAAAAACATAATTAGCAATACACAATTTCGGACCTTTAAAAAAAATTTATAAATTAAAATGAACATAATTAAGGGTTGACCATAATTTTATAAATTATAAAAAAAAATTTTTTTTATAAAATGTTTATAATATTTTATAAAAAAATTCAAAATTAGGGGGTTAAAAATATTTATGTAATTTATAATATTTTATAAGGAGAATAAGTTTTTTCTTAAAAAAAAGTTCAAAATTAGAGGGGTTAAAAATATTTTTAAATTAAAAAAACATAATTAATAACGAAATGCTAAAAAAATGTGGTTTTGGCAAAACTAGATCAATTTTACTCAAAAATCAATAATTTAGGATTGAAATGATGCAATTTGATACTAAAAACCTAAAATTATCAAACTACAATATATAATAGAAACCAAAAAAGCCTTTAAACCATTAAAGATGTTCAAATGGGAAAAGTTTAATTATAGGTGATCATATGAAAATTTATAGATATATCCTGTTTTAAGAAAAGATAAAAAAAAATCTAAATCCATAAATTTTAGTTTTAAGATCATGTTTTTATTATTGTGGTCATGGTCAATGGTGGTTATTATCATTGAAGCCATCCTCAAATAAGTTGTCACGTATAGATCTAGGTTGCGTTTGTTTCGGAGAAAACAAGTTCCCGGAACTTGTTTTTCCTATTTTTTATGTTTGTTTGGCCATCTCGAAAAAAAGTCAAAGAAATATATTTTTCATCAATAAAAACTAAAAGCCAAGTTTTGGGAAAATGACTTCCCACATAAAAAATGAGAAAACATTTTTTGTTATCCATCCTCGTTCTCACCTAAACTCACTCGTTCCACTCGTTGCTTGAAGCTAACCCAAGGACATCTTCGCCACCCAATGTCGTTGCAACAAAGCTAATGCCACCGTTGAGCAAATAAAGCTTGCAAAAGAACAATTAGATTTGTTGTGATTTCTTGTGTAATATTGTCCGATTTGAAAGATTTTTGTGCATCTTCCTCTTTTAGATCCGATTTCTTGTGTAATATTTTTTTATTTATTTGTTTGTTCGTCTTACTCCTTGTGGTTTGTCACTTCTTTTTGTTACTCTTTATAAATTGTTGTTGTATCTTCAAAACCGGAGAATCGATCCATTGGACCAAGACCTATTTAATTTTTGTAGTCGTTAAGTATTAATACGACAAACATCTTGTATAAGTTTCTATCCGTCGTGAAAGCTAACTCGTTAAACATTGACAAAACAAGTGGAAGAAAATATGTGAATAGGATTTAGCAATCAAACTTGCTCGCTCATAAAAACATTGAAATTAATATATCCTAAACAAAAAATAATATATCTTAGAGGGCCTAACCACTTAAGTTTGTTTTGTATTCAAGGGCCAATGTCCTCTCGGCAGTTTTGATTGGGATATCACATCAATGTTAGCAACTTAAGGAATCAAGAAGGGTGTGTTGTTGGATTCTATTGTGGACCGGTGCTTATGATGATAATTTTCAATACCTAGGCTCTATTGTAAAAAAGTAAAGGCTATTAAGGAAGATCTTAGCAATAGAACTAGAATAGGATGATTAAAATGGAGAAATGCAAATAGAGTTCTATATCATTTTATACCTTTTATTAATTTCAAGTATGAATTTATGAAACCTTGATAAAGTCGACTATGCTAACATGCTCTAAGAAAGTGACTGCTAGGCATTAAAAATCAATATATTTATGATAAAGGCGAGTTGAGATGATGATATTAAGATGAATGTACGGACATGATAGGATTTATTTATGATAGACGCGAGTTGAATCGAAATGATATGGGAAGAAGTATGAGAAATGGATTTGGTGTCATGGAAGCTAATAGAAACTCGTTCCTAAGCTTAACATAATTAAGAAAAACGATCCTTGTTGTTTGGTACTCGGAACTAGGTTGTGTGTAGTTTGCATGAGAGTGCTTTCCTATTTTAAGCTGGAATGGGAGGTAATGCTTTCCGATAAAATAGTAGGACTAGCTTTAGTTATTTTGATAATTTCTTCATTGTATGCATCTAATCGGGGCAAGTTTGAATTGTAATTCAAAGTTAAGCTATTTGCCTTTTTTTAAAAGTTACAGATCTAGTCAAATTATATGACTTCAAACCACATTGAATCATCCTTTCTTTGATTGCATCGACCTCTTTCCATTTCCCCGCTCGAGAATATAAATTTGCCATGATGACATAATTCCCAGTATTTTATGGTTCAATTTCAAACAAATAACCGTAAATAAACTTTCCAAGTTCAACATCACCACAAAGTAAAGCTCTATGGAGCAATACAACCTAAACTTTTGCATTTGGTTCAATTGGCATAATAGAAATAAATTATGTTCCTCGAGAGAGCCCGTTCGCTCAAAACACCAATCATGCATGCATAATGCTCTCCTAAAGGCTGAATGTTGAATTTCTTAAACATGGAATTGAAAATCTCCCAAGCTTTATCCACCATTACATAATGAGCACAAGTAGCCAACACTACAATGAACATCACATGGTCCGGATGGATTCCTTTGTTTAACATCTCATCAAAAACAATAAGAATTGAATTAGCATCACCATAGGCAGCATATGTTGAGATTATTATAGTCCAAATAACCAAGCTCCTCTCTTTTGATTGATCAAAAACATATTGAGCCAAAAAACAAAATCCCAACTTTGCATAAGTATCAATAATTATAGTTGCAACATAGATATTCCTATCATAACCATTTTTAACTACATAACCATGTATCTCTTTCCCCCTTTCGCATTTGAAAAATACGATAAAGTAGGAAGTACGCTTAAAAGTGTTACTGCAAGCCGAAAACCAAAACCCAAGCATTTCTCTTACCAAATCTATAACCACTTCGTGCTAATTAATTTGCACCAAACTCGAAATCATTGCATTCCATGTGCTCAATCCTTGACTTTTCATTTCCCTAAAAAGCTCCATCCCTTTATCAACAACACCATGAGCCATATAACTCGATATAATCATGTCATAAGACACCTCATCCTTCTCACTTATCTCATCAATGTCTATATGAACTTCTTGTTTGATCCCGCACATGGGGTGTTTTTCTATTTCTAGGTACTAAAGAATCATTTAGGATTCGTAATATGTCCCGCTTTCTTCTTATCAATGTCTATTCAAATCTTTAAAAGTCTTATATTCTTTTTGGAAGTAAATGGAGTTACTATACAGGTTTATGTTAATTACGAGCTTACGACCATTGATGGTGTAAAGCAGATTTGAAAACCACGACAAATATTAGGGAGAGCATAATATAGCAGAAACCACCGAATCTTATATCCATTATGTTTTTATACATTCCATGGTACAACTTTAACATGGCATCATACGTCCGTGTTCAAATGCATTTACTTATTCTAGTTTATTAAAAGACATAAAAAGAATAGGACATAGTTATATACAAAATTTGGCAATTATACTTGAACAATAATCACCTTCCGATGGCACCTACTTTTCTATGCAGCCATTCGTGTAATCATTTAGGATTTGTAATATGTCCCGCTTTCCTCTTATCAATGTCTATTCAAATCTCTAGAAGTCTTCTATTCTTTTTAGAAGTAAATGGAGTTACTATATAGGTTTATGTTAATTGCAGGCTTATAGCCATTGACGGTGTAAAACAGATTTAAAAACCATAGTAAATATTAAGGAGAATAGAATATAGCAGAAACCACCGAATCTTATATCCACTATGTTTTTATACATTCCATGGTACAACTTTAACATGGCATCATATGTCCGTGTTCAAATGCATTTACTTATTCTAGTTTATTAAAAGACATAAAAAGAATAGCACATAGTTATATATAAAATTTGGCAATTATACTTGAACAATAATCACCTTTTGATGGCACTTACTTTTTTATACAACTATTCGTGTAATCATTTTCGCGTACAATAAACTTATTGAGCATAAATAAAAAACATCAAAAGGTCATGATGTAATGGTAAATGAGGTTTAGATGGAGTAGATTTGATCTATTAGTGTTTTAACCAAATAATTTGTTTTTAGTCATTTTTACTTATTACTCGTTTCGATGGTGGTTTACTTCTTTTATTGTGAAAATGAACAAGCCAGTCTTGCTACACCAAGGATAGTAAATCATGAAAATTTTATGGACTGAAATATTGAATTGGAATTTGACATAAATCAATCATAACTATATTATATTAGTTACATATTACTTGATACTTCTCACCCCATTTCTACCGCTATGAGTTCTTGTTTTCTTGATGAATAATTCTTTTAATGTCATGTTCATTTGAAACTAAACGAGTTTAGTAATATATGTATTTCAATTTTATTCTAGGGAGCTTCGTTAGACTTTTATGTGACTTTTGAAAAAGGGAAACTTGATCATCATATTCGAGTCTACATCTTTACTTGGCAGTGAGGAAGTATATCCTATGTATTGTCTTATCTAATATTTTTTTGGCTAAATTGTACTTTTACTAGTATAAGATGTCAAGTCTAAAAGCGAAATATTTGATTATTTGGAAACTATATACCCGATAATTCTAAATATTCTGTTTGTTTGTTTGATAGCTTATATATTTGATATTCAATATATTTGAAATTTGTATGTAGATGGATAGAAAATTGATTCGCATTAAAGGCACGATGGGTGCTTCAATTGCAATCACTCGTATATCATATAGTTGATGAGTATGAAAATAGGACTATCATACCAAGACAATCTCAAATTGATGAAAGTTATATGAGAGAGTTTTATATAAATAGTATACTTAATCTTGGTGATCAACATTGTAATGCACAAATTCGTATGTCACAAAAGTCATTTGACAAATTGTGTGAGGTTTTGAAGATAACTAACCTTTTACAATCAACTAAAAATATGACCATTAGAGAACAAGTGGTGATGTTCATAGAAATAATTGGACACAATGCAAGATTTCGATTGATTAGTGAAAATTTTTATAGATCTCGTTGAAACAATGCATAGATATTTTAGAATTGTATTGGCAGCAATTCTAAAATTGTACCCATATCTCATTCAAGACCCACCTAACTCAATACCCGAAGTAATTTTCAACAATGAAAGATTTTCTCCATATTTTACGATTAGTTATCTCCTTTATTTGCAAAAAAAAAAAATTCTTAATTTAAATAGTTTCATTAAAAAAAATAGATTTTCATAAATATTAATTTTTTATTTAGGATTGCATTAGAGCACTTGATGGTACCCATATTCCAACGAAGTGTACTGCTGAACTCGCTAGGAAAGTTTCGTGGTAGAAAGAATGGAACAACACGGATGTGTTAGCGACCATCAATTTTGAATTAAAATTTACTTATATTTTAGCTAGTTGGGAAGGAAGTGTACATGATTCTCGTGTCTTAAACGATGCACTATCACGATCCGAAGGACTTAAGATTCCAAAAGGTATTAAATAAAATCTTTAACGTACATTTTCTCTATATATAGTTATACATGTATACAAATATTTATTGGTGGTATATTTCATAAAATTTATAGGTAAATATTATCTTGGTGATGCTCGGTTACCAAAATGGAGTGATAACTCCATATTGTGGTGTTCGATACCATCTAAACGAGTTTACCGAGCATCCACTCGAGAATGCAAAGGAGTTATTTAATCTTCGTCATTCTTCCTTGCGAACAACAATTGAACGTGGTTTCGACATACTAAAGAAAAGATTTCGATGCATTGATATATCGTGCTTGCAAGTTGTATCCTTCATAATAATCTAACGAGAATTGACCTTGATGATTATATTAAAGAAGAAATTACCACATCAAGCCAATCCATGATTATGGATAGAACCCTTTTAATCAAAGAGAGGAAAGGGAAGAGAATAGAGAATGATTAGTGAAAAGAGATGTTATTGCATCGGATATGTGAAATGACTATGTTATACAAAGCGATTTGTGATTTCAAAGCATCATTAATGTATTTACTTATGTTTTATTTCTTGATCGAATGTATGGCTTATGAGATAAATTGAGAGAATGGAAAAAGCTTTTTATTTTATTTATCCAACCAAGTTTTTCATTACAATTTTACTATATGACCTTTTTTTATAACTAATTATATTATATTTTTTATGTTTCGATTGTCATATTAAAAAATTTCAAATCAAATTTTTATCCTTTAATTATATTAAAGTTTTATCTCATCAATTTTTTTTAAAAAAATTATAAGTATTGTTATTTCAATTACAAAATATCACATTATTATTTATTAGTTTAAGTTTATGAATTTTAGTATAAAAAATTTCAACAAGATTAACTCTATTTCTTTTCTCATGCTAAAAAAAAAAAATTAAAATTAATTCTACCAAAAAAAAAATACCAATAGGAACATGTTAAAAAAAAGTTCTTTTTTTTTTTTTTTTTTGGCATGGCCAGATTGTAGAGAGCAATTTTGTACAAAATCAAGAAAAGCAAAACTTGAAAATGCACATGGTGGGTTTGTAATCATGAAATTGTAGTAATAGTTACCTATTTTTATATTTCGAGTTTTCCGTATCAAACAAACGCCGAAAAATATTTTCTAGCAGCTTTTTATATAACTATCAAACATCGAAAAATATTTTTAAGGAAAATAACTTCCTAAAAAATAACTTTCCCGAATTACTTTTCCTATTGAAAATTATTTTTTTTCCAAACAAACACAGACTCTAGATCACTTTTTCGATCTAGTCAAAGATAGGCCATCCATGTTATAACTATACAATTCTTTAAAAAAAATTTAATGTCTTATAGTTTTGATTCGGTTATGAATCTTGATGCGTAAAGAGAGAGCACGACCCCTTAAATCATCAGGACAACTCCTCATGTTAGGTTTTTTTTCTTTTCCTCATTTGAATTAGTGATGGATACTAATTAGAGGTGGTTTATAGCTAAAGAGTGTATTCTATGCATCTTTCATTGTTAGTGTTGAAAGTTGAAAACTCATATTAAGTACTAAAATTAAAACAAAAATTTCATAAATTTTTTAATCCTTGCTTTTGATTTGATTAAAGAAATAGATTTAATCTAGCATGCATAACTTCTTTAGATAAAATTACGGACTCGAACTCAATACCCTAACCTATCCTTTTTACTCTATAAGAGTTATTAAGATATTTTAAAGGCTTCTAATAATGGATATATTTACTTTCTACTTTATCTTTTTGAATTTGAATGAAAAAGATGTTGCTGGAAAAAAAATTATATATTTTTCCCCAGTCTGAATTTTATAACTTGTAGCCACAACTTTGGTCAAGTTTCAAAATTTTTTGTCATTTTAAAAAGTGTTGCTACTAGCTAATAGCTATTTTTCAAGGTGGATATTAACTCTTAGCAGCCTATATAAGGCTTTTTTAGTTTGTGTTTCATCATTCATTCATTTATCAAATAAAATATTTGAGTGTTTTATCATATTAGTAGAGAGTCGTGGAGTTTTAGTGGTTGTTTTAGCTTAATTCTTAGGTGTTCTAGCATATTTTTGTTTGTTTCATTCCAATTTCTATGTTTCAAATTGTTTTTCCGCATCAAAATCAATTTCTTTCATCCACACAAAAATAATTATCAATCCTTTGTTAAGAAGGTAAAAATCACGACAATCGAAGAGAATGAACAACCCGCAAGTAACCACATAGATACGCAAAAACTAATAATGTCTAAATAAAACTATCAAAAAGAAAAAGGAAAAGGCTGCTGTCAATGAGAGGCATCAGCAACGGCTAGAAAGCTGCTTTATGAGATGCTAAGTTTTCTTTAGGATTTTATTTGCTTCAGAGGGGAAACAAAGTTTTAAACTTATTATCCATTTATTAGATAAAAAAGAGTACCATTTAATTACTCGGTGATATGGTGTCATGTTTCAAAATCAAGTGAACGCTAATGGAAATGGTTTCATTACAACTTCCCTAATCCCAAAGGATGACAAGCTAAGATACACGAAAAAAATGGGTAAAAATAACGGAGCTTCATCTACTTCCCTCATAATTATAGTTTTTCTATTAACTTCAAAAAATGGAGACTTGCTTTAAACACTTGATGCAAAACTACATCAAAATTCTGTGTACTCTATTCATGTTCTTTTCTTCTATCTTCGTTTGGAAGTCAGGAGTCGTTTCTATGCATTTAACTCCTGTCTTCAGCATTGAATCTTTTTTTTTAAAAAAAAAGGCTTTCCTAATCAGACTTGTGCCTTATATGATGATTGGTTAAAAGTCTGAGTAGCTCCACGCTTGAGGAATAGCGCATAGAGTAACTCATTCCATGAGTCGGGGACTCCAGGCAGGCACCAGTGGCTGCAGTCCTGCCTATGCAGCGGTGCAGGATTGGAACCCTGATAGTATAGAGAAGAATGCCCATCTTTTCTTCTTGCACTCATAGCGGTTACATTCAATATCCTAAATTCTGCGACCTGGTTTGAATGAGATGAGAAGACATCAGTTACTATTTTGAATTGGGCCCATGTTTCGGATGGCACCAAAGATGAGCCTAGCTCCGGCAATGTCTCCAAGTGACAGTGTCCCCCTGTTCTCCAGTCTCCACCTCTGAAATACGTCGGTGTAAATTAGGTCTTCTAAATAATCAGATGGAGCACAACAGAGAAATAACAATAATTATGAAATCATACGGAACTAAACAGCTATTTAGGAAGAACATGTTAAAATGACAGTAGTAAAAAACTCATCTAAAACAACATTCTGCAAGACTTTAAGAATAACCTTGTCCTCAAGTATGCAAGAAGCAGATTCAATTTGCTAAGCCTATGCTAGGGAGAAACTTCAAATATCAGATCTTAAAATTAAAGATCTGAACCTCCCAGCGAGTGTATAAATGAATAAAAGGATGTTGCTCAAGAACTGAGATGAGTTGTTTGAAGCAAAATTCGATCAAACCATTCCAAAATTTCCCATCATGTAGACATTATACACCGAAACACGAAGGAAAAAGATTATGTATAAGACAATAAAATTAGTGAAACATATTCAACAAACCTGAAGTGCACAGGGGCAAATGTACGAAAGAAGACTCGGGTCTTGCTCGTGTTCACTTCAAGCTTTATCCAGTTCACCACAGTCTCTAAAGACCTCCTATATGCATCTTCTACCCCCATTTCCAGTTTCACTTCTTCCCCTACTTGAAAGTAAGAACCCCTAAGCAAATAAATTGGAGAAGGTCAGTAATTTCTAATGTTCCAAATTAAAACACATAATTTCAGGGAACGTGCATCCCCTCTGCAATTTGTTTTAGTTAATCAATGAGCCTTTGTTCTTCAAGCAACTTTTTTCGCTTAAACATGCAAAAGTTCAAATCCAAATGGTCACATCCAACAGACATCCATTGACCATACAAGCAAATCTTATCACAGTCTCAATAAAATGACAAATTGTGAGGTCCACTGCTGTTAATGTACCGTTTGGAAAAGAACAAAAGCAAAGGATGTCAGAAACTATCTCCGCCAATCAAAAGCAAAGGTAGATGAGACTGATGCTCGCATGAAATGAAAAAAAAAAAGAAAAAAAGAAAAGTAACGGCATCTTAAGCCCATCCTGTCAAAGCTAAGTTGTTGGACTGTTACAGCCATCCATCATTTCAAAGAATCCATAGAGTTTCACATCATTTGCACAACCCATATTTGCCTCGGAAGAAAAACACTTATAGGAAGTAGAGATAAAGACAAGTGATCCAACAATAATAGGCATCAAGATCGCGTGAATGAGTTAAAACCTAAGCCACTAAAGAGTCACCATAGAAACCATCAAATTATCACTAGGCAGTCCTGAGTCCTCGACGACAAAATATATCATCAATTCTTGGGTCCTGTCTTTTATCGCTTGTCACTTTAAACTCTAAAGCATTGGTTTTCACTTTCTTAGTAATATGATCTGAACAAGAAATTGGATGACAGGAAGATTGTATTTGACCTCCAATTTAACAATTGTTTTTAGCCAATCCAGAAATTTCAAACAAATGCATGATGCCATCTTATCATACCAAATCCTTATGTATTTTCCCTGAGACGAATTTCTATACTCATCAAAACCAGCCTAGTAGAAGCTCATACTGCACACATAGAATTATAGATGGAAGATAAATGTAACTCTACAAGAACAGAAGGACTAATAGGTTTACCCTCTTATGGTTTTCTCATAATTCCACCAATGGCCCATGTTGAGGACCAACACGTCGGCAGTTCTCCATTTGACAGAGTTCCAATCCATTCGATCCAATTTAAGTGTTAATCTAACCTTTTGTGGCGACCCAGCTGGAGGCCTGCTCTGCAATACAAGAAATGGAGACCTGTAATACTCCACTGTGCAATTATAATCCTTAAACATGAATACCAAGAATCCTTTATGCTTTGTAATTGGATTGCCATTCACTTCATAGATGGAATCCTTATTTGGAACTGCAGAAGACAGCATGCATAGGAAGGACTCCCACTGATTTCTTCCAATTGAATCTCCAGCAAACACTAACCGTTTGTTTCGTAGTTTCTCCAACATCATTTTTCCATCAAATCTACACAAATCAAAGAGAAAAGAAATGCTTTCTTAATCTTCATACCAAATAAGAAAATATAAAAAATGCAAACAAGCGAAACTCAAATATAAATCAGTGTCACTACGACACTGAGAATTATATCCCTAAAAGAAGAAAGGAAACTGAAATATGATTTGAGTGAAACAGAGATTTATCATGCAAGTAAAATTAGATATCTTCTGCCAAGCGAATTTCCCCTTAAATTTTGTTCTACTTCTGAGTTTCACAAATCACATTTTCCAAGTAGAATTGAGACAAATTGAAATATATGGAACGGAGCACCCAGAAAGACAACAAAATCAACTAGTTAAAACACAAATTCATTTGTCTTCATCGTGGACGGTCTTCCTTATCAGCACCCAAAGTTAGCGGGCAAGGCTTATCAGCCAAAGAAAAAGACAACATTTTTCAACCAATCAGGTATCCTTGGAATATTACAAATATCATCCATTGCTATTTGCTGTAGCATACGCATTTGAATGATACCATGTGAACCAAAGAAAAAGACAACATTTTTCAAAAAATCAGGGTATCCTTGGAATATCACAAATTTCATCCATTGCTATTTGCTAGCATACACGTTTGGATGATAAATTCCATGTGGAAAAAAGAAGAAACAAAACGTTGTCATTGTCACGCAAGAATAAACTACTAATAAACGTAAACTTAACCTTCTGAGGACATTAACAAAAAGCTAAACGCCGGTCGAAAATTCCTAAATAGAAGAAAAGGTCCCTCTTTGTGATTGCTAACAATGTAGTTATGGAAAATAGATTTTCAAGCATTTTGCTGAAATTTTAGTCCAACATAATTATCTCCAGCATGAATTCCTCGGGCTCAATGCAACCCTCTTTAATATCTCTTCTTTTCCCACACTTTCCCAGCACCTAAAGAAAAAAAGGAGGAGAAGATAGTACTTAAAAAGAACAAAAATGAGAACCTGGGCAAGTTGCAATGCTTGGGTTGCCATCTCCATTTGGTGTAGAAAGAATCAGGCCTTCCATTCTCAGAACACCTAAACCCCTGATCCAGAAATCTACAATCTTTAGACTGATACAATGGGTACTTCTCATCCCACACCCAATCTCCATCAAATAGATCACATCCATTACCTTCTTCTTCCAAAAACTCCACCCTTTTATTTTTTCCTGACCCATTTATCCGCAACCACATAAAGCTCTCTGATGTACCAGGAACTGTATACCCTTTAACAATAACAGCCCTGTAATCTAAGTAAAAGAAGCAAAAAATAACACAAACTGTAACAAAAAAGAATCCAAGAACACCTAAAGATGGCTCAAAGAATCTCAATTGCAAGCGTTTGAGTTTCTTGAAGGTTTCAAAGAATTGCATTGTTTCATTGTCCTGTTGAGATGGGACCTTCGACATTTGTGCTCAAGAGAAGATTTTGGAATCTGAGTTTGGTTTCTTTGGTGTTACTGATACTAAGTGTCACTGAGTTTATATAGAAATAAAGAGAGTCGTTGCGGTAAACAGAGAAGTTTGGTTGGCAAGGAAAACGACTTTCATAGCAAAGGTAACAGACCTACGGCCATGCTTATAATGTTTTTGAGCTTCTTTGCTTAGCAGGTCAGTTTTGTTATGCAATGGATGAAAAAAAAAACTAAAAAGTGATCAGAGAGGGAAGAGAGAGAATAATGGGTGCCAAAGAAGCAAAGAAGCATTCATTCATGGCCGAAGTATAAACCACTTAAGTCCCTTTTGCACTTTTCTGTTATTACGAAATAGTTGAGAGGGAGAGGGAGAGGGAGAGAGAGAGAGATGGGGCGGTTTGGTTGTGGTTTTGGTGGCTACTTGCTACGAGGATTTCATTTCAAGCACAAGAATCTAAGAAATGCTATCAATATGTACATTTCTTTTACTTTAATTTATTTTTAGAATAACAATCAAATAATTGAATGAAAATAAATAGTATTAATTATTATCATTAAATATGTGTTATTTTATAGGATAATATTTCAAAACGCTGACAATGAATTCTAAAACTAAAAAGAAAAGGGAAGATTGGTTTAGAGCATTAAATAACTCTTAATAAATATATTAAAACACCGGATCCAATAAAATAAATAAATATAGATAGTTATTCTAGATTAACACGATTAATTATCACCATTTAATCAAGTTGGTAATAATAAACCAAATCATCAATTATGCTTGTCGGATCTTAATCTTTGAATTCAAATCAACAAACATGATTTTCATGTAATTTATTTCCATTTTATAACAACACTTACTTTATATAATTATTTAAATGAGTGTAATCATAAAGGAACTATTTATATTTACTAGATTTTTAAGACAACCTTTGTTTTTTAAATCAACCTTGACACGAGAGATAAAATTATTAAAAAAATAAAAAATTGAGTATAGATGAAAATATTTATAATTTTTTATGAGTGTATATTTTATTGTGATTTATTTCTCTACGAGGCTCTCTCTCCTCAAAATGAGCCTTTAAAAAAATAAGAATTTTTTTTTATATAATAAATATTGGTAGTTACACCTTACGCAAACTTTATATCAAATTTAAAAATTAAATGATTTTATCATTTATATATAGAAGATCAAGGAATCAATCATACTTTATATAAAAAAAATTATTCTCAAAACTAAAACAATAGCAAAGAGATCACTTTCATAAAGTTAGTGGTTGATGTCTTTTAAATTAATGTTAGCTTTTCCATGATGCATAACTGAGAATTCTTGTTTGGAGAGAGAACAAAATATATATGTGTGTGTTTTTAAACTCAAATAAATTATAGTTATTATTTGGTTGTACAACTTTCTAAAAATAAGATTTAATTTAAATGGAAATAAAGTTATATATATATATATATTATCATACTTATGGTACAGTGATATCAAAAACTAAGAAGGGATTGTAACTACCAAATAGAAAATATTTCTTTCATGAAAGTTAACAAAAAACACACTATGATGAATATTGTCTGAGATAATTTTTTTTTTCTACGCATCACGCAGAGAAAGAATAAGTATTGTTTGTTTTTTTTTTAAAAAAAAAAAAAAGAAATCAAGGAATCAATCATATTTTACATTAAAAAAATTCTTTTTAAAACTAAAATAATAGTAAATATATCAATTTCATAAAGTTAGTGAGAGCTAAAATTATCTAATTAAAAAAAATGGTTGATTTTTTTAAAAAAAATTAATGGTTAGCTTTCCATAAGGCATAATTAAGAATTCTTGTTTTGGAGAGAGAACAAACAAAAGTCTAAAACATTAAATTAAAAAAGAAGAAGAAGAAGAGTGTATAGCCTTAAAGTCATTTTATTGATGATATAAATCAAATCAATATATCACCATATTTGTGGCACAATGATACTATATATATATATATATATATATAATTGCAATTTTGTTCCATTGAAAAAATTAAAAAAACTCTTCAATGATAATGATGAATTATTATTTTTCTATTAGTATATAGTTAACAAAAATTCCGTAAAACTTTCCGATTAGTAATGTCCAAGATGAAATTTTTTTACACATCACCCACGTAGTTGGGATTAGTACCACCATAAATTAATAGAAGAACGAACAACACATCCACATTCCATTGACAAAAAATATTAATATTAAAACTTATCAAGCAATATCATTCTCTTTTAACCAATAAAAAACATCCATCAAAATCCAGCAAAAACCAAAAGACAAAACATTCTAATAAAATAAAGCTTTATGTATAAATTAATTTTTAATTTAAAATATAGATTTAAATTGTTAGCACACTAAAAAAAGAACACAATAATTAAAAAAGAAGAAGAAGAAGAAGAAGAATTAGGAAGATGAAGGGCTAATGGCTGGCAAGGATTAAGGTTTTTTTTTTTTTTTTTTTTTTGAAAAAAAAACCAAGAAAAAGAAGAAGCCTTAGTCTTGATGATTTCAATTTTTTAAAATACCTTTTTAACCAAATCCTTCATATATTATATTACAGTAATAGAAGTATTTTTGTATTGAACTACATATATATATACATGAAAAAAGAAAGAGCAATTGTCCTCAAACTACAAAATTTATGCATAAATGAAATAAAAATTAAAATTGTAACAAAGGAAACCGCATTGACATAACGTGGCCAAGGGACACGGGGTGAATTTGAGTTTGAGGACCTCGTGGGGTGTGTACGGGGTTGCTGAGGTGCAATCGGAAAAGGACATGGATAACGGATAGTAAATGTAGAAGCCACGCCCACGCGTCTCGGAAGAACGTGCACATTTTTGGATTTGATAAGTGGGACGTGTGATGTACCTGTAGAAAGGGTGCGTGCTTTTGATTATACGTGGAATTCATAATCCGGACAACAGTACAGCTGGAGAGCTGTTTCATTTGGCTATTTTGGGGATTTTCTCTTCCGTAACTTCAACTTATCATCGCTTGCTTCAAATTTATTTATTTATTATGTAATCGAATTGAATTACCATTAAAAAAAAAAACAGAGAGAGAGAGAGGGGGAAGAGAAATGAATAGTATTGTGATGATAATAGATTAGGATAAACCTAGAGATTCATGTGTTTTCTTCTTTTTACCTAAAATTTTTTATATGTTTAATTTAAATTTGTATCTTTCATTTGTTTTTCACTCTATGTAAATTTTAATTTCATCCCAAAAATGTATGAAATATCTCAATATAATCCAATAGGTAAAAGTGAAAATTTTGAAATTAAAAAATTCATTAAAGAACTATATTTTTCAATAAAAATATCTTTTTCATCAACATTATCTAGCAGTCATTTGAAAATACATAAATAAATCTAAGCTAAAAACTATTTATAACAAAATAATATCTTTTAATGAAAAATATTAACCACCACAGTTTATCATCTGTCATACACTTTCCCACTAGAATATTATATCTATTCTTTATATCCAATTTTCCATTAAAATCCACAAGAAGTATAGGGATAAAATATTAAATTCCATATGAAAGGAATGGTAGATGGAGTATAAGGTAATTTTGGCACCTTCTAGAACTTTATTATTTGCATATATCAAATACGCTATTTGATAACAATATAAAAAGGGACACATAATAGCTGAGAGGGATCATAACGGTGAAGATTTTGACGAATAAAATAAAATAAAAGATAGAGTTAAATTAATTTAAATCTTAGTTTTTATTTAAATATAGTATCGATAAAGAAAAATATGATGTTGTTAAATGAGAACTAAAGTTAGTAAGATTTGAGAATTTCTTTAGAAACTAACACTCTCAAGTTTTATCATATTTTTTTAATAAAAAAATATTTTTTATTAATTTTTTTAGTTTATTTTTTTCCTTATTTTTTGGATGATATTGAGACATTTTATGAAAATTAGGGATATAAATAAAATTTATGCATCTAACGAAAATGAGCAAAAGGGGAAAATTGGAACAAAAATAAAAAATGTAGGAGTTCATTGGGAAAAAGTAAAAAAAATATAAAAGCTGATTGGAATAAATCAAAAAAAATTAGGTGAAATGAAGACAACACGTAAATCTCAAGGGAGAGGCAGATTAAAATTTACCCAATGAATTATTTCCAAGCTAGAAACAAGAACTAATTATTATTATTATTATTATTATTATTACTTTGTTGTATGGGTATAAGTATGATATTTAGTAAAACATATATATATATAACAAATTATCTCTCTTTAAATTTTTTAAAAGAATGATTCAAAACTCTCCTATAAATTATAACCATTGCCCAAATTCAATTTTTACTTGTTCTTTTAAAAAGTTTAGTCTGAAACCATCACTGAATTTTTCCCTTCTCTTCTTATCTAGGAGTTTTTCCTCTCCTCTTATTTGGAGTCGTCCCTTATTGTTTTCTTATTAAATTTTCCAATAAAAGTTTAATTTAGAATAGTATATTGATTTTGTTTCACCTCATATCTATTTTTTTCTCTTTCCCCAATAATTCTCCATATTTTCTTCTTCTTCTTCTTAAAGTTTCCACTTAATCCTTGTTCTTCTCTCTTTCTTTTTTGTTATTTTTTTTTTTTTTTTACCATTGCTAACCTTACATAAACTTACGATTTTCAAGGAGGTTTTTTTTATTTTTTATTTTTGTGGAAATCATGGCAGAATATTTGATACCATGGCTTCCTTCTATTTTTTGTGCGTGTTATAGTATTTGCATATTATTATTTTTTTCAAATCGTTAATTTTAGTTTTCAAAAGGTTTGGCTAGATATTTCATTGGAAAAACAACATATTATTTCACTAATATCTGTTTTTTAAGGCCTTCTGAAGATATTTAAGTCTTGGAACAAACATCAAAAGTGAAAAAAAAAATGGAGAAACAAGAAAACGCAGTTACAATTCGCAATATGTTTGGTGAAATTTTAAAAGAAGTTAACACTAA